AAAAGAAATACACTGAAATCGCCTTCCCTAGCTTTGTTTATGGTTTAAGTAGTGTTAGTAGTACAGTCGAACTAAAGCGATTTCAGGAAGTTTTGGCTTCATTGTTTTCCGGTGTTTTTGACCCAGCTTTTGACGGGCAGCGATGAGAAATATTGGTTTGCTTGCTGGCTACCAAACATGTTCTTATATAATGGTGAAACCTGGAGGCAATGGGAGCTTTTCAAGCAAATTTATGGCTATTTTCCGCCTTCGGAAAATTCGTTGGACATCGCGATGGGTCGCGATGAAAAATGTCCGTGTGATTTGCGAGCTTAAAAATTCCCACTCGGTCGGGGATGTAGGAAAGCCATGCTTGGGGCAGCTATCGAACATGCTCTTGGTGAAATCTCGGGTCGATGGGAGCTTTTGACGCAAATTTATGGTTAAAATAATATGTTCCTTCGACCCCGACATGAATTCAACTTCGCATACCTCCACGCAAAACAAACACAAAGACCGCGTGGTCCAGCGGGATACGGGTTAATTTGCATATGTGACTACGAAGAAAAAAAAAGAAAAGAAACTCGGCCGAAACTTTGACGTGGCTTGCCTCAGGCATCCCGCGTAATCAGGCAAAACCGGTTCTTAAACAGGTTCTTATTAACAGGGTAAAATAAATTATTTCTGTAGGTGGTGTATCTACTTAAAAATTATTGCAATCCTGAATAATAAAATAATAACATTGTCACCGTTTAGCTCTAAATAGCATTACAGTGAAACCTGTATTAAGCGGACCCCATATTAAGCGGACACCAGCTTGAGTACCAAAATTTTCTACCCACATTTACTGTAAAATAAACCTGCATTCAGCGGACACCTCTGTTAAGCGGACGCGGACACCGTTATTAAGCCATTTTGTTGCACAAAACCTGCAATAAGCGGACACTTCAAGAGGTTTTTACTTCTAAAAGCTCGGCTCAGACTCTGTTAACATTGTTCTGCGATGTTGTTTTAAAGCTAAGTAGATTATTCCAGATTGATGCATTGGCTGACTGGGCATTGTGCTATGAGCAGTCTTTGATCTTACACTGTGTTACACTGACTTACAAAAAGGTTAATAATTAACTATTATTGCACAATATATAAGAACCTGTATGAGTCCCAAGGGTGTCTGCTTAATACAGGTTTCACTGTAGTTTGGTTGATCAGATACTGTGTTACACTGATCTTACATTGATCTTACACTGTGTTACACTGTGTTACACTGACAAACAAAAGGGTTAATAATTAACTATTATTGCACAATATATAAGAACCTATATGAGTCCCAAGGGTGTCTGCTTAATATAGGTTTCACTGTAGTTTGGTTGCACGGATTTAGTTGTTGTATTATACTATATGTATCCAACGGCTCCAAACTGACACTAGAGTATGCACCAGTATTTTTTGATCTTGTCTTCATCTTATATAAGAACCTTTTCTTTAGGTGGTTCATATAAGGTAAAGTCTGCATACAAGCCAAGTGGCCCATCAAGCCAGAGCTTATCCCAGTTTCTGTAACATGAAGCTACTAGGAGTATTTCTATTCCCCCCTTGATGGGATGCTAGTCCATCGCAGGGTTACCCCTGCCACTAAATTCGCCGATTCCCATTTGTTCCCCTGGATGGAGAAAGGCAATGTCAGAGTAAAGCGTCTTGCCCAAGAACACAACAGAATGGCTTGAACCCAAACTGCTTGATCCGGAGTCGACCGCACTAATTATGAGGACACCGCGCCTCCACATATATGTATGGTGTTAATTTGGCCAAATTGTAACCTGCAGGTTTTAAGTATGCAGTTTCTTGCATGTGGGTTTTCACCTTACCAATATCGTTACAAGCTGCATTTTGCACGATAGTGTTATGACAGTTAGTTCCCACAGCAGCGTATTTACTGCCAACAATTCAGAATACAAACAACCATAGAAGGGAAATACCAGTAGTTAATAGCATGATATTTCAATGTCAGACTCACCAGTCGTTCCAGCTGGTGTTATCTCTCTCAAATGCTCGAACACATCAAGCCTGTCTGAATCTTTAGCTGTCCTTGCTAGACAACGGATCAATTGCTTGGTTTCAGGCCCTGGCTCTTTCAGAGAGGCTTGGTCCGGCTGCAGAGTCTCTTGCAGTTGACGAACAACTTCTCTGG